TTCACTAAAGCTTTCTTTGGGCCTTGTTTGTGAGTTTTGATACATTTTTCAGTTGTGTCTCCTTTTTTTCTTTTTGTGCTCTTGATTTTATTGAGGATTGTCAGACAACAAAGGCTGGAAATAAATGCACACCGCACTTTTCAGGTTTTCCTTTGTGAAGCACTTAAAAACAAAATCTCATTTTTCCTTCTTTTTCATCACGCACCGCCCTGTGACCAATGTCTATCGGAAAAAACTTACAAAAACGTGTTGCTCCACCGACCCAAAATACAAAAAGTTTATCTTGCACTGTAAGATATTGTCTAATGCCAGGCAGTGAAACATTTGCACCCTGATCCTGGGCAAAGCATGCAGCGGCAGTAGAGATGGACAACTCCTCACCTATTTATAAGAAGGTCTTTAGCTGTTCCTGATCTCATTAATGAGGAGCAAGGAGAAACCTTCATTTTGTCTTCTTTCCATGATATCTGTGTCCTCTGGTTGGGCACGTCCTGTTCCAAAGCTCCTGCCGTGCCTGGTACGGTGTTCTTGGAGAAAGCGGTTTTCATTGCGCATGCCCGTCACATGGCTGGGATCAGTGGGCCTGAGCGGGGTCACGGCGAGAGCAGCGAGCTGCTGCAGGGGTCATTAAAAGTGTGAAAGAGTCACCCGGCGTCCACATCAAAGCCCGCGCCGACAGAACGCTCCATTTCACCATAGGGTTTTTTAACACTTGGATCCTTCAGTTAATAATATTTTCCATCAGCACCGCTTTACGACGAGGCGCTGGGAGGGGAAATGTTTCCCCTGTCCCGCTGTTTTCCCCGCCGCTTGTCTCTGGTTCGGTTCTGTGTTTTTTTTCCGGGGCTAAGCAGGGTTTATAGGTGAGTTATCAAATGGCCACTTGATCTGCAGTCTTGGACTTGATCTGGCTTAACCTTTCTACCTCTGGCCCAGTTTACCAGTGAGTTCACAACTGGCTCAACCGGCCGGCGCGTAAATACTCCCTTCGTCCCATGAACTTGAATGTGCCGCCGCCACAAAACCTGCATCTGGTTCACAGGTTGAACTTCAAAAGCTATTGCAGCGTCAGCAGGTAAAACGTGTTAATCATAATGCAATATTTGGTTGCTTTTTGAAAATCTGGGCCTGTCGCAATGAATCGATTAATCGCATGATAAGTCACTTGATTTCCATTTGCACAATTTATTGTTTTTCTCTTTCTGCCAATAAACTGGGTGACAGAAGTCTCCAGTCTGGCTGGTTGGTCTCAGCCAGCGCATTTTTGAAAGACAATTTTGTGTACAGAAATGTCACGACGCATTTTATTTATTGATTTATTTATTTTGAATATTTAAAATCACTTGTAGTCCAAATGTTAAATCTTCATTCTAAAGTTTATTGATCTTTGAGAACGTGCTCTTGCATTATCATGCCACTGAAATTATATTACCTGAAAATGCTCTAAAAAACCCAACATTATCGTTTATCGCGATAACTTCTCGGACAATTTATCGTTCAGCAGATTTTGGCGTAACGCCAGCTCATGTAGGACAAAAAAAATAAATAAATCATTTGAGTTGCAGCCAATATTATCCAGAATCATTATTGCAATAGTTTGTTGTCATAAAATTGAACATTCCTAATCTGGGCCCCATTTAATGCTTCTGTTTTTTTTTCTCCATTTTGTTTCCACCTCTGTCTGCCTAAAGGAGATTGCAGTGGCATATGTTGCACTAACACAGCTAATGTTTTGTGCAGATGGTGCCCACTCCTTGTTTTTTTTTTTATTTAAATAAAGCAGTAAGTTTATGGGAACCCTTGTAAAGATTTCTGTCTTTGTCATTTGGGAGCATCAGGGGTTTGTCTAATGGCTAAATGCAGATTTGGGTTAATCTTTAAAATGCAGCTGTTTTCTCATCGCACCTGCTCCCAAAGAGGTGGCTCCTGAATCCCCAAAAACACAGGAAACCACACCCCGCTGTTTCATCCAAGCGACAAACATGTGACCTAAAAACACAACAGTGCAGATCTTAAAAGACCTGCCAGTAGATTTAATTCGGAGTGATGTTTATTTTAGCTTGTTGCAGCCTCGGGTTTCCCCGCCGTGCTCGGTGTTGGTTGGCGCCCTCGCCGTAGTGCGAGCGGAGTAAGGCCAGAGGGTGAAGCCCGGGGCAAACGCAGGTCACGCCAGATCCAGATCTCCCTCGGTAATCTCTGCCCCAGCTCTGAACTCTGGATCCCATTAACAGGGATTTATATGTAATAGTGTAGTTGTACCAAAGGCAGTATTGCTTTCTTTTCTGCTCATCATTTCCATCCGTGTAATAAAATCCCTGTAAAACACCATCAAGCTTTTTTTTTTTTTTTTTTATTCCCCCTGATCTTTTTCCTACCCCCCATCCTCCTTTGGTGAGAGGCAGGAGGGCTGCAATGTGAGCAGAGGTCTGAGCCACGCCCTCCACGCAGGGATAAGGGAAAGGGATTGGCTGAGAGTTTTATCTGCTGTCAAAGCCTTTTATGGGATGTGGGTGTTCTGGAAAGAGTTGGCACATGGGGGGAATTCACATTAAGATCTAAAGAAGCAAATGTAGGAGATTAAAAAAAAAAAAAAAAAGATACCCAGCATGAGAAGAGGTTTTGTCCCGCCTTTGGACAAAACCTCCTCTGCTTCTCTCTGGGCTGCCAGTAGGTTTCTAGTACTCTTCCCCTGAGCTGTGGGATCTTCTCCGATCCCATTATTTGCGCCGAGGTCTGTAGTCAAACCCATGAGCTCACTTGACCTAACTTCCTGCTGAGCCTGCCTTCACGGTGCGGTGATACGATAGTTTACACCTGCCAGCTTGATTACCAACCACACCGTGGATCTCTGACTTTGCCCTCCATCAGTTCACTGGCCAACTGACTCGAACGCTGCAAGAAGTGAAGGCCCAAAGGTGGGAAGTGACTCGTTGTCCGAGGAGACGAAGAATGACACATCGGAGGAAATTTAAAGCAATAAAATGAGTTGTGAGGCGCTATTGGACTTTTTAGATTGGATCAGTTGTCCCATCTAAACCCACCGACTCTAATCCAAAGCTCCAATCCTTTTAGCCAGCCTAGCTACTAATTACAGCAGATTGTCCCTCCTGCTCCATCCCTCTGAGTGATCTAATTCGGTACAGGCGCCGGTGAAACCTGAAGGTTACCGTCTTACTCATGCACTGTCTTGTTTTTGTTTTTAATCCTTACATCAAACCTAATTGTAGTTACCTGTCTATCAAAATTTAAAACTGAGCTCAGAAGACAGCGAGCAGGGAAGTAAGCTCTCTGCTAAATTTGAAACTCTTATTTTGAAGCGATTGTGGGAGTACTTCCTGCTTTGTGTCAATATTAAAGAAAATAGGTACTCTGTCGAGAAAGAAAGTAGAGGGGAAGACAAGATACAAACTATTTTTGACAAATTATAGTAGTTGGCTAGCCGTTAGCCGCTATTGATGCCAACTTAGCATTTGCTGTGAGTCTAGCTAACTCCACTTCAGGGCTGTTTCATTACTGAGGCTGGCTTTGGTTATACTCAAAGAAAGCTTTAGCGTCAATCGTTGAAAGGTAAACACAAATTAACTGAGTTAATATGTGAACAATAAACCAGGAAGAAATGCTACCCACCTTTTATTGTGCACTTTATATGTCTAAAGTAGGAAACTTTGATCTGGAAATTACTTCAAACCCAACTTGATTTTGACCAAAACAAGTTGGATTTACTAGTTGATGTGCAACATAAACAAGCTAGCTACTGTTAGCTTGATTATTTAGCGTATCAACTGTTAGCTACAGTTGTTAAATTACATGGATTGTTAGCACAGTGCAGCTCAGTGTCTTTCTTTTCTTTTATTTTAAATGTTTATCATCGCCCCCTAAAAAATAACAAGCTACATAACAGATGGATTTGTACAAAAGGAAGTTCTATAAAACTGTCCTTGTGAAGGGCTTGAACAGTCAAGTGCAAAAAAATATATATATTAAAAATGTACATTAGCAAAAACAAACAAACAAACAAAAAACATCTTTACAGATGAGGATGAGTAGAAAAATGTCTTCCATATTTTGTGCTCTATTTTCTCTCTGTAAGTTGCATAACTGAGTCCTGAGAAGCTAACGTGCTTTCAGCAGTAATATGAAGTATTTTATTAAATACTGTGGGTATATGAGGACGAGTGGCACGAAGTCTGCAGGGAGCTCAGAGTTTGCTGTATCTTGGTCAGCAGTGGATACATTATTCATGCGTGTGATTCCTCTCAAGCCACCGAGGGTTATGCTCTTCGTCCGGCGACCTCCCGTGACCTGTCGGTGCCCTCCACTCTTCAACACACAGTCTGCAAGCCTTCCACATGCTACAAACCGACGCCGGGCTCCATCAATTAAACATGAAGGCCGAGGACAGGTGGAGTTCACTGAGCTTTGAAGCCACTCACTGCTGGCGATGGTGGTGGTGGTGGATCAGGACACGCACGTCTTGGGTTTTGTGTTGCGTTTTTTAAGAATGTATTTCTGTCTAATGGAGATCTTTGGTATCGGTGTGGGGGTGTGCATTTATTGTGATCATTTGATTTATCGTTTTTTAAAAACTAACTGTCCACAGTGTTACTTTTATTGTTTACTGTTTTCTCCACTGTTGGAGAAAATATGAATAAATGCGGTTCGTTTGTGCAGTTTAATTCTATAAATCATTCTGCTTTATATGTCCAGAATAACTGCAGATGTTTTTGAAGGACGACGTTTCTACCATGCAGTTACAGCCAAACAGTTCCTTGAAAAAGTAGTTATAAATAGCTCTTATTATCATTTTGATTGTTATCACAAAATATCGCGATAAAACTTTTAAGTCCACAAAGTTATCGGTGTATGAAGGCATTGTGCATTGACATTTTGAAGCCAAAGGAACACCAAGACAAAAACAACCCCAGCGTATTGTTGGATGTGTGATTTGCTCTGGTTTTCTGCCCAGGCCTCCGCTGACGTCGCATGTTGTGCCGTTGCAGGTGAAGGTCTGGTTCCAGAACCGTCGGACCAAGCAGAAGAAGGACACCACCAAGGACTCAGACAAGCGCTCCTCCTCCACGTCAGAGTCTCTGGCCACCTGCAACATCCTGCGCCTCCTGGAGCAGGGCCGCCTTCTGTCGGGGCCCGCCCCGCCCCCAAACTCCCTCCTGGGGCCCCCAGCTCACCCCACGAACGGCTCCCTGCTGGGCAGCCCCGGCGGCGGCTCCTCCACCTCCCCGGGGATCAGCAGCAGCACCTCGCCCAGCTCCCTACCCGGCGGGACGTTCGGGCTCTCGCTGCCGTCTCTGGGCGGCACGCCGTCTTCGCCGCGGCTCGGGGTCCCGCCGCCGCACTCCCTCTGCTTCTCCATGCCCCTGCTGGGGGGCGCCCATCACGAACTGACGTCCACCTACGGCTGCGGGTCGTCGGCCTTCGAGCCGTACATGCGGCTGGACAGGAAGGAGGCGGATCTAGGTGGGAAGAAAACGGTTTCCTAAGCGGACCTGAGGCGCGTGGGACTTCAGGAGCCTCATCCTGCCGCCGGACAGGCAAAGAGACCCTGTGACCGGCAGTGACAGGGGAGCATCAGTTTCTGTACAATGATAAGAAGAAAAAAGAAGAAGAAGAAAAGACTTGGTGAAAAGTGTTAAATCCTTGTTTTTGTTTTTCTGTTGGAGAATTGCTGTGTGTTTGTCGCAGACAGATGTTTCTGTCATCACTCTCTTTACAGTAGTCACTTTTTGTCCAGTGAGTTTGTGTGTGTGATATTTTTCCACCCCCTCTCTCTCTTTATGGGCCTTTTTTTTTGCTGTTCAGGAAGAAAAAAAAAACAACATACTTGACATTAATAATTTGTTCGCAGCAGAGAGCCTGCAACAGGAGAGGCGATGAGGTCCGGTTCCAGGTTCTGTTTTGGCTTCAGCTGAGCCCAGTGTCTGGATGAGATGTGCAGTAATTACATCTTACAGTTCCTGTTCAAGTGGCCATGTTTGACTTTTAGTTAACGTGCTATCACCGTAGAAAAGAAACACACATACACAGAAAAATAATAATAATCGTAGCTTCTTAATATCAGTCTGTTTGGTGTCCAGATGTAGATTTTGTAAAATTGTTCTTTTTCTTTCTTTTTGTTTTTGTTTTAGTTATTATTATTTTGACTTTGATTGTTGTTTGTGTAAGTGCTAGCATCCAGACGAGCGGTGCATACAGTACATATCCAGGGCTGACAGTCTAAAGGAAGTGAAGACGAACACACGTGTGGGCAAGATGGCGGAAAGTCGAAGCTACAGAGCTGGCCGACATTTCGTTTATCGAGGTCGCAGCCCCGAGATAGAAAGAGGCAGAGAAAGAGAGAGAAAGAGACGACCTCTGAACCCAGATTCAGGTTGATTCACATGCCTCGCAGCTTCTCAGTCAAACTCAGAGAGAGTTCGCAGATGGGAAAATAATCTATTTAAGGAGAATCAACCTGGCGGCTGCCTTTTCAGGGCTCGAGCTGCAGCCGCAGGCGATGAATCAACATGTCGCTCCACCGAAAATTCATCTCCAACAAACATATGTGCTTGAACGAGAGGATACCCGAGTCCAAAGTTAGTGTGTTTAGACTGCGTGTGTTTTGCTTTTTGTAAGTTTGTCAAATCCATAATCTGAAAATGTTTGTGGAATATTCGAGATTAGGCATGGGCCGGTAGGAGATTCTCACGGTTTGGGTGAAAATGTTGCGAACACTAAAATGTGCAAAAAACAAAAAAAAATTCTTCAAAGCAAGAAAAAAATAATTATTTCTGCTGTTGCTGAAGTAATCTGATCAAAGTAGTCATAATAATGTCATTTCCTGCCTTTATTTTTGTTACTATGATTCACAAAATGGAGCAAAAATACAGAAACCATCGAAATGTTTTCAAATATTTATTGCCCAGAACAATTTTCCTATCCTGCTCTTCGATCGCCTTGTTCCAGTTCTCTGCAAATATGTATTCAAACATGTTGACCTAAAGTCTGATTACGTCTAACGGCGCGTCAATCCACATGAACAGAGACTGGAGGCAGAAACACAGAATATTTCTGCCGTTATATGGTTTTGAATCACAGATGAGATTTTTTTGGGACGTGTTTTGGTTTTAGTTTGTCCGGTTTGTTCATGTAGTGATGAATCATTCCAGATCCTAGAACATAACAACCAAATCAGATCAGATTTGTACTGGAGTTTGTTTACAGCTGGGACTTCGATGTGAGGACCATGATTTGTGACAAGAGAACTCGTTAATGGTCGTCAGAGCGAAAGAGGCTTTTACTGTTGTCAGAATGTCCTGTAATACTGGAAAACGTCTCCAGATTTATCTATAGATGAAAAACAATCTGTTTTTGAAAAAGAGCTAAGTTAGCAATGGTGAAAGTAGCAAACTTACAAGTCTTCTTCAGTGGCTGAATTTAGGTTTTTCAGCTAAATTCATGTTTATTTCCTGTCTGCTGGTAACCAAAGGAAAATAATGCAGTGACTAAAGGAATAGTCCTGACTTTACTTTGAAAGGATCTTTCCTGCAACTTTAGAAAGCTGGATTAAAGGATCAGATACCGTTGACAAAACAAATAGTCATTTTTACTGTGATTGTCACAAAGAACAAAAAGCTGTATTGCCATTACAAACGTGCGCAAAACTTTGTCGATGTTTCACTAACGTCAAGAAACGCAATTTTACAATTTAAATAAGAAATTCAATTAAAAGCACTTGTGAATGAATTTGCTCATGCGATAAGTCATAAAAAAAAATGTATCGACATCATCTTCCTACCACTTCCTGCCGTTCTCTTGGTCATTTCCGCCAGTAGTAACATCCTGTTGATCACATGACTCACAAAAACAAAAGTGTCTCTGTCGCAGTTTTGCGAAATTCGGGCGAAAACGTTTCCTCATCCTGAGGCAAAAGCATTTTATCGAAAACCGTGTTTTTGACGTGTTTCCATCGAGCAATTTTATTTTTATGAACACAGTTTGTGAAATTATATAGTTGATGGAAAAGATGCAGAAAATAAAACTGGTTAGTTAATGCGGGTCATTTGTTCAGTCGCTTGCTGCTCGTAGTCGACTTGTACTTTTCCAACTTTCTAACCTTAATCGGAACAAAAAGTGGGACTCTTCCAGTTTCCATGTTATGAGGACATTGTGCAGCAGCAGGTGAGGGAGGGGCAGGACACTGAATGCTCCATACAGCCAGAGAACAAAACCACTTTTCTCCTGTCATCTCATTATGATGCGAACATTTTGCATTTTTTTTGAAGACCTCCAGGGAGACTCGGTGGACCCTGAGCGTGCTGACTGGCCCATGCCTGGCAGAGGAGCGTTTCTCTGCATCACACAGACATCATTACAGTGAGCTTCACTTTGACCCCGCTCTCGATTCCCACCTCCCATCATGCTTCACTTTGGCCCTTCCTTCTGATTGCTCTTCATCGAAAGCACTTTATGGTTTTGTTTTCTTTCCACATCGCCAGCTGTTGCTTCATTCTTCAGCTTTCATGTGTTTTTTGTTTGTTTTTTCTTTTATAAAAAGTAGAAGAAGAAGCCATTTATCGAAGGCAAAAAGAGAGAGAAAAATCTAATGTTTTCTTCTCCGGTTGGCATTTCGCGGCGGCTAAGTCTTATAAACGTCGATTATCATTATTGCAGTCACTCGGTTGGTTTTATAATTGACTGCACTTTTTTTAACTTTTTTTTTCCCTTTTTTTTTATAATTGAATGATTCGAAGCTAAGCTTTGGGTTGGTGAAAATGACATTCATCGAGGGCGCCGAGAGCCGAGCGAAAATGGAAGGGGCCACCTGTTCCGCGTTGTTTTTCTTTCTCACGAGAAGCAATTCATCCAGGTTTCCTTCTTGTCCAAATCACCTTGCGAGAACCTGTAATTTGCAACAGTTTGCCCTCAATTTGCGCGTGTCATTTGAGTTTTCATTCCCCTCTTCGCTCCTGTTTGTCATCACTTTTTCCTTTTGAATGCTTTTCCTTTCTCCCGTATATTGTGTGTGCGCGTGTGTGTGCGGTTTATTTATTTATTTTTTCGTTATTATTTTTCTCTCAGTCTAAGGCGTTTCTGCAGCACAGAAAAGGAGAAGGAAGAAAAAAGCAAAAACAAGCAAACAGCAGAAAGGTACTGCCGTGACATCAATTTGTAAAACACTTACGAGTGAAGGCAGGGCTAGTTTTTTTCCCCAATAAGTTTCCAAGGGCAGCGCCTGGAGAGGATCTGACCTCGGTGTGTCGGCTCGCCGGGCCTTTTGGCGCCCGTGTAGCAGCAGTTTGTAGCTGATGATTTCTGCAAAAAGAAAAGCAGAGAGAGAGAGAAAGAGAGAAAAACACCCACTCTGGGCTCTTTGCAGCAGTACACCTGTGCTCTTGTCGAACACTGTATTATTTTCCATAAGCACCATACATAATTCACACGCTCCTGCATCAAATATTGAGCAGTGAAACGGAGCTGAGAGGGCAGGAGGGCCCGCTGCTGGTGTGCAAACCGCCGGGCTCCTTGGCAGATTATTTGTCTTTCACTCGACCCTTTTCCTTCGCAGCATCTGTTCTTGCTATTTTATTTAATTTTTTTATTTTCACGTAGCTTCAGTTGCTTGAGATAATTGATGCAGAAAGAATAAAAGTAAAAAGAAATTAAAAATCTCTTATTTATCGGTAGAAACCTGCTCATTTTTAGTCTCGGCCACCATGACGTGGACAGCGTTTGTAAATGAAGGAGAGAAAAGAAGAAGAAGCAAAAAAAAAGACAGGTTAAGGCTTCTCTCACTTTCATGTTTTCTTCTCTTGAGATTCAGCACCGACTCCTTTTTATGTCATTGATCGATGGTGTTTTGTAATGTATATCTGCAGTTTGTCGTGTCGTGTGCTCAGCTCGGAGGGGGCGGGAAAAGGTCGAGAGAGAGCGAGACGCCGCTTCGCTTCTCTTCCGGGAAAGAACTGATAAAGCCTTACTTCGGATTGGACAAAGCCCATTTCCTGTTTATTTATCCGTTTCTTCTCATTCCAGCTGAGAGGAAGTGTTTTACTTTTTGTCGTTTTCTTTGTTTTTTTTTAAAGAAATGCTCTCTGCGACTCTTTTAGGCTGCATGAAGCTGTTGTTTTAATTCCTCTTGATGCAGAGGCCCCCCACCCCTTTTATTATTGTCTTTTTCTCTTTGAGCAGTAAAACAAAACCTAAAGTCAAGCTAACGGCACCAGCTACTACTTGTGACAAACATGTACATAGATATAAATTTATATATAACTATATATATAAATGGGTCTTTGCACAAGTTATCTGTGTCTGCTCTGTGTGATTTTAACAGGAAAAAAAAAAAGCAAAATGTGAAAGAAAGATCAGGCAAAAAATAAACAAAACAAAAAAAAACTTTATATATGCTTTACAGTTTTTGTCTCATTAACATTTTGCACTTATTTAAAGAGGCTTTCTTTGGTTTCCGGGCTGACGGAGCTGTTTTCACGCTCTGCTGAGATATTGTACAATATGTATATGTATTTTTATTCATATGCATATAAATATATGTCTATGTAATTTGACTCCGGTGTTCTGTTTCTTCCCCGCCGTCACCAAGAACAGAAAAGTAAATCAGCAGTGATCTGCTCCGTCTCTATTTATTCCTCCTTTCTTTTTTTCCATCAGTTTGTCAACCTGCTGCAGAAACCTTGACAGTCTTCAAGCAAACCAAAGCAGGGGACGTTTTAAGCCCTTTTTGAGAAAACGTTGTGCCTTCAAATCTATTAGGCACTCTTAAATATGACATGTTTTAATTGATGCTATCAGAAACTGTTGAATTGTGTTCAGCGCTGCAGAGTGAAGAGGAATATTCAACGTTTTAACCTCTTTATTCTTCATAAAGCTAAATAGTGAAAGGACACAAAAAAAAACCTACATGTTTTGCTGACAGGTGCTGAATAATTTGCTAACACTCTTGTCCCTGGTGGGGTCGGGAGGTGCTAGTGCCGGTGTCCAGCTAACGTTTCAGGCGAGAGGCGGGGTCACCCCTGACAGGTCGCCGGTCTGTCGCCAGCACAAACAACCGCACACACTCACACCGAGGGATAATTTACCAATTAACCAATTAACCTGTCAGTCATTGCTTTTGGACTGTCAGGAAGCCGGAGTACCCGGAGAGAACCCACCATGCACAGGGAGAGCATGCACACTCCATGCAGAAAGACCCCGTGTCGGGAATCGAACCCAGGACCTTCCTGCTGCAGGGCAACAGTGCTGCTGTGCAGCTGAATTATTTCAGTTTTGACCTGAAAATGATTCATCTGACCCGTCCAAAGTAAATGTGAGCGATACATTTTTGTTTAAGTTTGTCATAAAAAATGACAAAGTCGGCATTTGCTTTGCTGCTCTTTTTGTTGTTTTTCAAAAAAATTTTATTCAGTCACATGCATCTTTACAAACATTGACGCTGAATCTTAACGTCACACACTGACACTTTTATTCAGTCCGATATCTGATGAAACAGATTTCACTCTCACTAGATCTGGCAGATAAACGTGGCGTTGAAATAAATTCATATCAATAAATTCAGCAATCGGTTTCACCAACATTCCCTGAGAAACTGTTTTTGGTAAACGCTTCAGAAATATCTCCAAAGATCGCAGAAGAATCACAGAAGAAGACTGGCCTGTTTTCCAGATTTGAATAACTATGGAGAAATAAACAGGAAAAAAGAAAAAACTTTTAAACTTTCCTTCTTATCTATTTATTTTAATATTTCTCCCCATCATCCTTACTTCCCTTTTCTAATTCCTTCTGTCCCACATTCCTGGTTTTTATGCAGCCCTGCTTCCTGTCGCATGTCCTTCCTCCCATCCATGCAACTTGAAATTAAATGACTAAATAAATAAATCGGGGATTCTTACACGTCTTCCTCACGGGCCCCGATGAAGAGGAGCAGCTCTGCAATGTTCAGAAGTTCATTTTGTAATTCATTAGTTCTGCAAAAATGAAACTAGAAAACAGTCTGGAAAAGTCAGGATATTTTCTTTTGAAAATGTTTGGGATCCCTGTTTGGAGATCGGCAGCAAAGGCTGACAGGAAGCAGCTTTTGTCACGTTCAAAATAAAAATTGTCTGGTGAAATCTCGTTGCCGACGTGATCGTGTTGATAAACGTCCAGATGGATCAACGTGGAAACTGTTCACCAGGAGCAAAAACGGAAACGTAAAGCCGACAAAACCTCAATCCTGTCTGGAGCCGGGCTGAAGAAGAGAAGAGGGGAAGAAGAGACGAGCCCGAACCCTGGAAGAGAGATTGTGCAGAGATGAAAGGTCAAAGGTCATTCTCTCTGCAGGCTCCAACCTTGTAACATGTTATGGAAGAAGAGTAGCAAAAATCATGTTGCACCAACTATTAACAGCAAACCAATGAGAGTGCCTGTAGTGATTTAAAAAAACAACAAAAAAAAAAAACATTTTCTTGTGACGTAAAAAGGTGCAAAAGTTAAAAGTCGGGTTTTTCTTCGCCAGTAACTGTGAGATGAGCTGCATTAAAAATGAACAAACGTTATCGTGTTTTGTGGGCAAATTCAAAAGTTCCTTTCCTAATAAAGCTTTTAGAAAAGTATGTTTTGTTAATAATAATAATAATAATAATAATAATAATAATAATAATAATAATAATAATAATAATAATCAAACGAAACACATAAATGAAAGATTTGAGCCTGGGACGTTTCATAGCCAGAGGACAGTGAAGTTTAAAGGCTCAAAGACTGAACACAATCGATCAAATCTGCGGCCTCAACGTCAGCAGAAACTCTCTGATGCCTTCAGATAAACGAGATGCGACTCTCTGTTGGATTCCTCCAGATGTCAGGAGGAGAAACACCAGCAAAGAGCCCAGGCCCTGGAGCTGTGGAGGCAACACAGCGAGCCCAACCCTGCAACACACACTCCCTCCCTTCAGCACAGATTTTAGAGAGAGGCACCTCTTCACACCGGGACAATGGATCCGCGGGGTGCCAATTACAGCGATTGGCACCTTTATTTGAGCGAGGAAGAGGCGAGCATAGCAGCAGAAAGGAGACCAGATGGGTGGCCAGTTTGAAAACAGGAGGGAGGGAACCGGGGTGAGGTGGCGGGGAGGGAGGAGGCGGAGCGGAGGAAGAGGCTGCGGCGGTAAACATCTCCTACAGAGGAATGAACTAATTGATTCTTTACAGCTCTTTCTGAAAAGGTGAGCTCCATCCAGTCGGAAACACAAACAAACAGAAACGGCCAGCAACACGACGACCTTCTCCTGGTTCCTCGTCTGACAGGACGGCGTCCAGGAGCAGGACGGCGCCGCATCGAAGGTTCAGGAGCGATTCCTTCATCCTCCAAAACATAACCTCAGGAGACATGCAGGTAAACACGGCCAAAAGGTCCAAAATGTTCCTCTACTGTATGTAGAGACATGTTGTACACGGAACATATGTGTCAAACTCAAGGCTCGAGGGCCAAATCTGGCCCGCTGTAGCTTTTCATGTGGCCCTCTAGGCTCAAAATTACATCAATAAGACCTTCCAGTTTTTCACAAATCTGCAAAATTCTCACAAAATCAACAGATTCTCCACATCTTTTTCTGATTTTCGGGTGAATTTGGTCAAAATTGGTCAGAGACATGAAGTTTAAGCTGCCTCAGCCTCACTTGATGTCAAGTTACAGTGCGTAACTGATACAGCGAGTAATGTCTGTAAAATCTGTAAAAACACTAAAACAATCACAAAATTTTGGAGGAATATCTATTTATTGACAATTTAACAGTTTATTTAGTTTTCGTTCATTTGTTCATTTTAATTGTTTAAAAATGACTTTGAACAGAATTTATTTTATTCTGTTGTTTATTTCGTCCTAATTATGTTAAAAATATTTGTAAAAGTTTTTTAGAGGAATTCTATTTTACTATTAGCTCTATTTTGTTAATTACTTTAATAAACCAATTAAGTTGCCTCACCAGAAGTTCTGGGACTTTGAACCCAAAAGACATGTCGAATTTAAATGAAACATCTGAACATGGTGGGTTTCGAAAGCATCCAAATGCAAAAATACAATTTTTTAAGACATCACAGTTTAATTTGAAGTTTCGTTTTAAACGGCTTGATTGAACAACTTGATTTAAAATTTGAATCTAAAAAATACCCTTTTTGTAATTGAGTTCAATATTTGTAAGATACTGAGAATAGAACACTAATATAAGTCATGATAATTTATTGTTAAACAAAGAATTTATTATACTATTTAGAAGAAAACTGCAAACCCTAGTGGATTATTTAAACCATGAACCAAAATCTGCTTTAATTTAATTCATTTAATATGAATTTAATTGATCTTGAATTTGATTACTAAACGTTTCATCTTGGCGACGTTCTGGAACGTCTTTAGTTTGAAGATATCCTGATGTTATTGTCGCATGTTTGGGTTGCTCTCCTGCTGATGAGGATTTTTGGTATAAAGATAACCTGAAAGTGTCTTCAAAGCCAGGAGGAATCAGAATCAGACTGGTGGTCGGTCTGATCCTGCTGTCTGATCATCAGGAGGTGAACGGCCCCCTCCTGCACCCGACGCCTTCCTTTGTTCAGATCAGATCGCTTCCTCTCCGCCTCTCGGATTCTGTTTGTTATCCTGGATGAACTCTCTGCTCCACATCGTCTCAGTTTCTCTATCTGCGCTCACTGTACGTGTCTGTATGTCTGTGTTTCTGGAGGGTCCGCTGACCTTCAGGAACGCCTCGCCGTCCGGCCGCGGCTCCCAGCTCTTCTTCTCTGCTCCCTTTCCTCCATCTCCCCTCCCCGTCCCTCCTCCTTGTAAAGCAGCTCAGCCGCCCATCGGGGGGCCTCTCCACTAATTAGGGTCACTAATTGGAGGTCGGTGAGAGCAGAGACCCCTCCACACCTGCACGATCATGTGACTTTCAAAGAGGTGCGTAGGGTGAAAGGTCACATAGTCGGGGTGGGCAAGGGGGGGTGTCGGATTAGACGGACTGGGTGGTGGAGGGGAAGGGATACAGCAACGTGGACGGCGACGAGACGGCGAAAAAGGTGAAACAGAGCACTGCAGAGGCTCTCAGGAAGGTACACAACACAACAACAAACATTTACAGACAGGAGGACGCGTCAAGCGATGAGGGCGCCCGGTCAAAGGTTAATTGTCAGGTGACCTGCGGGGCCCAAGGCCCCAGAACCGCCCGCCTTTCCTGGCCTGCGTGGACTAAGTGATGGCTCGCTGTTTTGACACGATTCACACAAGAGTCGGGCTTAAGCTCGCCCCAAAGGTTCACAGCTGCATTCCTGAGAACCAGGCCGACCCAAACGGCGCGGCGGGAAGCGGGAGGAGCGGTTCTCTGTTCACTGGACGTGAGACGAAGTGGAACCCCGTGTCTTATGAAAGTGTCTACATGCTATGTTGAAACAAATGTTGCCCCAACGTCGCACTCTGTGCAATCGACTGTCTTTCTAAGTCCTCCGATCAGTAAACGTCGTCCGTCGGGGCTGAAACCACGGAGCAGACCAGAGAGTTCAGACAGGAAGTTACGGAAAAGTT